TTAAGTTCACACGTTCCACTTCGGCGGTCCGGGGTTTGCTGGTTTGGATCCCGGGTGTGGACATAGCACTGCTTGGCAAGCCATGCTGTGGTAGGTGTCCCACATATAAAGTAGAGGAAGATGGGCATGGATGTTAGCTCAGGGCCAGTCTTCTTCAGCAAAAAGAGGAAGATTGGCAGCAGATGTTAGCTCAGGGCTAATCTTCCTCAAAACAAAACAAAACAAAACAAAAGAAACTAAAAGTCCAGAGGTAGCCTCTTGACTTCTATTCCTCCAATCCTTTCTAAAGATTTTACAAGCATCTAATTCCCCACAGTAATTTCCTTTCTGCTTGAAATAACTAGAGGGGTTTCTATTGTAACTCGTGACTGACACTCCTTTCACTTGCCTTTTCACCTGAAGACAAATATCATGCAGTAACTGTCCTAGGATAATACAACATATCTGATTCTCCTGAAATACAGGTTAGCTCTTAGGAATTCTACTGACCATTAGCAATTACTACCTACACTGAGTCCCTCAGAGGCCAGATGGGCTGGAGAGTTAGAGCAAAAGCTAAATCTATTCTAAAATACCATCAGAAAATGTAATTCCTGAGAATGTATGGATTTTCTCCAGGGAAGATAAACAAAAATCTGTAACATTCAATATTTTAATGAAGAAATAATAATATCAACCTTTACGTCTATATGATGAGTTTCTGCTGGACACAACAGTTTTTGCATTCCATTTCGTGACTGACCAATTGTCCAATAGCCCATGAATGTCTGCTCTGGCAGAGGCAACCTGTCAAGGATGATATGAAAAGTAAACGTTTCTTCTTCTTTCCAAGTCATAGGAAAAAATAAGGAGCCATCTATTATCAACCACACAAATAAATTTGAAGAATGCTTTACTTAGCAGTGAGTTATATTTCATTTTATTAAAAAGATAGTCTATAAAACCATATTTAGAATATTCTTTAAGAAGAAAAAGATTCCACATTTCTGAAAGTCAGAGAAGATAAGATCCTATTCTGCTTTTACATTAATGACAATTATAATTAAGGTTTACATATTTTTTCCTTGAGTTGGTAAAATACTTGGTAATTTAACAGCTAAATTCCTAGTAGAGTATAGGAAGGATTTAGAACAAAAATGGAGCGATCCATCCATTTTTCAGTGTACTTTTTAAAATTTGGAATCGAATAATAAATAGTACACAATACCACCAGCCACACGTCTGTAAGTTGTACAGGGCAAGTTTCATAGACTCTATTTTAGCACTTCAATCTTTTTGTTACTTGGAACTGAAATATAATATACATATTGCAATACAAATATATATACAAATATAATATACAGAAACCTTCACATAAATGTGCTGCTTAGTTCTGAACACACCTGTGAAACAAGTACTCAAAGAAGGGCACCACCAGCACCCAGAAACCCCCTCAGGACCACTGAGGGCTTTATCCCAACCCAGGGAGCAACTATCCTGACTGCTAATGGAGTTATTCTGTGTTTAGATTCCTTTTTATCTAAAGTGATTTGCCAAAATAAATATGGCAATGCTAAAGCACAAAACCACAGACAAATTTTTGTGAATAAAGCCTTCACTTTTTACTCATACTATCTTTTCTTTGAGTCTTTAGAAAAGGAACTATTAATTTGTCATTTAATGGAATATACATTTCTTATTCCATGGTAAGTTAAGGCAAGAAATGATTCAGAGTTAAAAGCTCTTTAAAAATAATGCTTATGTGGCTAAAAACTAAAATGTATGCTTGAATGATTCTGATGACCATGAAAAGAGTAAGTACTTGTACTGAGAAATCATTTTATTTTCAGTAAAAGAGAAGTCTGACACAATATTTCCATATGCTTAATAAGACCATGTAAGGCTTGTATATTTTTAACATAAAATAATGGAACCAAGCATTCTGGTGGAATATGCCTTTTGTCCCTTTGAAGTGCTAATGTCTAACACAAAAGGACAGAAATTAAAAAGAAATTTACAATGAAATTCTTCTAAGTCATATGACATAAATTTCTTAAAAAGACATATGTGCTTTTGTATCTATCATCCAAAATATAATTTAAGTACCTGGACAATTATCCTTTTTTTTTTTTTTTTTAAAGACTGGCCCCTGAGCTAACAACTGTTGCCAATCTTCTTCTTGTTTTTTTTTTTTTCTGCTTTGCTTTATCTTCCCAAACCCCCTGTACATAGTTGTATATCGTAGTTGCAGGTCCTTCTAGTTGTAGGATGTGGGACGTCGCCTCAACGTGGCCTGACAAGTGGTGCCATGTCCGCGCCCAGGATGCGAACCCTGGGCTGCCGCAGTGTTGCACATGAACTTAACCAGTTGGCCACGGAGCCAGCCCCTGGACAATTATCCTGATTGGTCACCCACTTCTGTATTTCTACTGGAAACCAGGTGGGAGGCGCACTGAGTCAGGGGATTTACTATTATTATATTCTTTCTTTTAAATGTAATAAAAACACATTTCTATGTCAAAAGCCTGATCTTGAAAACATCTTATAGACCTGAGATCTCTCTCTCCTTGTTTAGGGAATGAACTGTATTCTTTACTTGCTGTCAGCACTTCACCAAAGGAGAATCAGGTCTCCAAACACAGAAGGAGAAAAACAAAGGAAGGAGACATACCTAATTTCCCCCTAGCATAGAAGGCACAGTATAATAAAATGCAGGAGATCTGGGTTCTAGTTCTAGCTCTTTTATTAAATAGCTATGTAAACCTTGGAAGGGAAAAGTTAGCTAATTTCTTTGCGTGTTAATTTCTTCCTTTGTGAAGTGAAGGTTGCTTATAGCGTGGGGAGCCTATGATGATCACCAAAGTGACTAGGAGTAAGTGTCACTGGTAGATTCAATAGTCTTGCATTAACTTGGTGCCCTGGAGTGAAAATAAACAATCAGAATGAAAATATCTGTACCTACCACTAGAATAGGTGCCCTGATAGAACTGCTTTATTAAAGCTTATAAAAAAGAAGCTCTAAATACATCCCAAATTGGCTCTTTGAAGACACCAGAAACAGTTATATATATCTTGAAATCTAATTAGAAGCAGAGAATCGCTTAATAAAAATGGTCTTTGGTTGACAGGTTGATATCTAACCTAAAAAATGGACCTAATATATCTTTTAATAATCTCACAAAAATATCACATAGATGCTAAACAAAACAAAACAAGCAAACAAAAAAAATTCGTCCATTTGAGAAATAGTAACTTTACTCTCCTTCCAGTTTTTACTGACAATTTTAGGGATATTCATCAAATTTGGTTTGAACTTGCCAACTCATTCTAAGTAATAGTCATGGAAATTGCAGCCTGTCTGGTTCCATCTAAAAATAACACTAGCTGTTTGGTTGGCCGGGTATCGGAAGGACCTACAGGTACCCCATTTAGAGTCTGTTCCGGAACCACATAACAAGATGCTATTGGCAGTAACAACTACAAATGAAAGTCACATTCGCAGGGTGTTCTGGAGTTGCACAATCAAACTGACTCATCCAGCTCCTTGGTAACACAGCGTGTTGTTTCTAGACTTTTCCTGTGCACTCCAGGCTGGCCAACTGAGGTAAACCAAAGCCTCTCACTTATTTTCTATTACTAAAGCTTCCCAACAAGCTGTGGAAAAGTTTGATGGTTACTCTCTCCCCTTTGGTATGTTAGTAGTCAGGGGAAAGGGGAAGCATTATAATTGGGTGCATGAGGAAGCTTTGGAATTTGAAACATAATCAACATTAATTCGGGGGTAACTCTAAACTAACAATCAGTTAGCAAAAGACCCTATATTCCATTACTGAAATGTGTCATTCAACTCTGAGCAGACTTAAGTTGTTACACCTGATGTGACTGAAACAACAATGGTATTTTCCACGGTTTTAAGATCCTGTCACTTGTATTTTTTTTTAACTCTGTTAAAGTCCTAGCTGGAATGATGTCTTTAATTTTAAGGGTGAGGAGGATGAGCTTAAGCCTATAAATAGCACTACTTTTTATCTTCAATGTCATTCATGAATTTATGTTTTTTAAAACAACGAAGTATTTCAATTCATATGTTGTGATGTTTCTTAATCCCTTGTGGAAGTATTAATAAAGATCTGGAAGTAAAAGTTTTAAATAAAAGAAGGGTGAATTTCAAAATTATGACTCAGGTCAAATTACAGCTTGAGCAAGTTACACAAAGGAAAAAAAGGTTTTTTTAAGCAGGCATACAATTCATAACATGATGCACATGGACACCAAAGTTGAGTAATATAGTCTGAATGACATGAAAGAGATTTGTCTAAGATTGTTTCCATACAGAGGTGAGCTTAAGTTTTAAAGAGTATGTTCTGGCAAACTTCCGCCTTCTCTGAACATTTGCCAATACTATTTCTGGAGTATGAAAGAAACACATGAAATAGATTTGGATCTTTCTAGAGGCATTATGCAATTGGAAGTTGTTGACATATCTATTATCAACAATTCCTCAAACATTTCCTTACCACACGAACTACTAATTTTCATGGGAATAATGGAACCTTTTCAGGGTAGTTCCACCAACTCTCAAAAATTCACCAATTTATACCATCTTTGAGAAGAAAAAGAACAACTCCAATTTAGCAGGCCTCACTCATTCCTAATGTTTGAAATCTAACCTCTGGTAAACACTAGTTGGATTGTCCAACAGAGTTTACTGGAGTCTTTCATAGAATAACCCTGACAAATATTTCACCTTTGGCTCTTCCCCCTTCCTCTTACTCTCCAGCCAACTCATGCCTTAGCCACCTCAAACTGCTACTTGCTATTCCTAAACATACTATACATGTTCATGCTTCCACGGGGTCATTACCTCTGCCTAGAAATCCTTTCTGCTATTGCCTCTTTGATGAAATCCTTCTCATTCTTTTTTTTTTTTTTTGAGGAAGATTAGCCCTGAGCTAACATCTGCTGCCAATCCTCCTCTTTTTGCTGAGGAAGACTGGCCCTGAGCTAACATCTGTATCCATCTTCCTCTGTTTTATATGTGGGACGCCTGCCACAGCATGGCTTGATAAGCGATGCATAGGTCTGCGCCTGGGATCAGAAGCAGTGAATCCTGAGCTCTGGAAGTGGAGTGCGCGAACTTAACCGGTACGCCACCTGGCCAGTCCAAAATCCTTTTCATTCTTAAGGCCCAATTCCAATGTCACTTCCCCCTGCATCCCTCTCCCATATTTCTTCCTAGGAAGCAAAGTTAATCTCTTACTTTTCTAGATTTCCATGTAAATTTGCACATATGGAACTCTTAGAAACTCTTAGGATAGAGTTCTGTAGTATTTTCAATTTTCAAATTTAAGATCTGATAGAGAATAGAAGTTTAAGAGAGAAAGGTCAGAAGTCAATCTCTTGTAAATATTTTTATTTAAAATAAAATAAGAAGTCAGCATACTAAATAAAGAAAATAGAAAAGCCCCTTTAAACACTTTAAATTAGTAATAATGGGTACTACTATTCCCAGTTACCCTCCTTTGTTTGCTAGAAACTTCTGAATTTCCCTTCCCCACCATCTCACATATTGCTGGCAAATTAATTTTGCTTTGCTGCAAATGATAATGCATACAATGAGTATGTATATGTATTTTTCCTTTCTGTGCCTGGCTCTGCATTTAGACATCACGGTTTTACTTTACAACTTAGACTTGTGCATCTCTGCCCTGCTGGTCCTGCTGAGGTCACAGAAATGAAGAGTCATTTGGATGCACGGGATGGAAAAAGATTTGGGGAAACTTGCTATTCTTGGCTGACACTTCTAAATTATGCTCCCCATCACCCAGAATGACACTGCCCTGTCTTAGCGCTGCTGCCCACTGTGGCTCTGTGCCAGAGCAGATGTTGTCAGCCTGCTCCACACATCTCTGGCTTTCTTCCTCCTCACAGAACTTGCCTGGGTTTCCTTTGCCTCGTCTGTCTTCAAGTTTCACTGCAGAAACTTCTCTTTTTCTGCCATCTGCTTTACCAAACATATCTTAGAATTTTCGAATCTTAAGTTCTTTCCTTTTATAATTATCCACATCAAGAATGACTGGGACTGAAGCTCTCCCAGTTGGAAATTTTCCCAGAAAAAAAATTCTGTATTTCCCACAAGAAGGACCCATAGGTGAAAGAACCCACTGTGAATGTAGCACTTTGAATATCACACTCTATAACAATGTTGGTGGTTTGTGTTTTCCCAACTAGACTGCTAATTCATTGAGGGTAAGGTTTACACCTTACTCACTTGAATCCTTGGCACTCAGAACCCATCGATTCTGCCACCCAAATCTCGCTCACTCATGCCCCTCTTTTTCATTCCCACTGCTACAACGTAAGCCCCCACTGCTCATCACTCAGATTACTGCAGCTGTTTCCCAACAGGTCTTCCTGCCTCCCGTTTCACTGCCTTTCAGCTTCCTATCTTTGGAAACCAAAAGAGCTCTTTCTAAATTATGACTCTGATCATGCTACTCTCTGGCTTAAAATCCTTGTGTGATTCCCCAGACTCTTCTCCCTTTTAGCCTCACCACACAACATGTCCTCACTTAACCCTTAGTTTTAGTCACCAAACTACTTGCAGTTTCCAAAACGCACCATGCCCTTTACAACTGTCTCTGCTTGAAGTATTTTCTCCTCCTTTATTTGCCTGGAGAATGCGTGGTAATCCTTCAAAGATTCAGCTTGGTTATCCTCCCTGACTCTCCCCCAGCGCAGAAGCCAGCAATCCTACCACTTTGCTCTCTCTCCTGTGGCTCTAACATAACACAAGTTGCTCTTTACTTGAGTGCTTTCCCAATTGTGACCTCCTTGAAGGCAGACATTGAGCCTTCTTCACCTTTATATTTCTGACTCCCTATCTAGTGTTTAGCACATAAGTGCTCAATAGTGTTTGTTAAATGAGTGACTACTTGGTTATGCTAGAACTGCCAACATCTTCACCTACTTGTTTCTTATCTCAATGAGAAGTTGCAAAAAGCCACTGTCAAATTAATAAACAGAAACTTCATTAAATTGGAGTCAAGAGGCCAAAACGGGGAGCTCTCGCGCCCCACATAGATAGCAAAGCCCGACAAGAAGAAGAAAGACTTCCTCTTCTTGACTGGCAAGAAACTCAGCCAATGAGAGGCTGTCACAACTCAGCCAATGAAAAACCACTACACCTTGAACTCTTTGTTTACGATAGCCTCCCCACCCCCAACTTCATCTTTCCCTGTATAAAAGAGTTTCTCTTCCCTTGCTGCTGGGGACTTGCATGTGGCTCGCCATGGTTGCAGACCTTGAATTGCAATTCTTTGCTGATCCCAAATAAATTCATTTTTGCTAGAGAAATAACTGACTGTCTCTTTGTTTAAGGTCAACATTTTGGTGGCCCGTATAGGGATGCAGAGAAGACCCTTGATGACTCTAAGGCTGGTGAGCAAACAAGTGCAGTACCCACAACAGAGCCCACTGAGCTCACTGCTTTTCTTATCACCCTGGCCCCGGAGTTTGAGGATAAGTCTTTCTACTGGATCCAAGCTTCTGCCCTCTCCATGTTTGAGACTCTCCAGGCCTTAGTCAAGATCTATTTTAAGGTTTCATCCTTTTCTGGTTAAGGTCTTGTTTGTCTGTGGGTATTCAGGTGGCACTTCGGCCTCTTTGAATCAGGTTGTTTCTTTGAACTGTGCTAGCCTTTGTCTGAGTAGCCTATGTCTACTCCAGATTTAGTTAATCTGGCAAACCAGCTCTCTAGAACTCTATAAGGGTCACCTAAAAGAAAGACCACTAAAGTTCTTAATCATCAACTCCAGCAAGTGAAGGCCTCCAAAGGAAACCAAAAACTCCTAGTTTCTGTTATTATTGCAAAGAACCAGGACATTGGAAAAGAAGTTGCTATAAATTTAAGTGCTTCAAGTGCCTGCAGCCCTCTAACTAGACTTTTCGATGTCCTCTAAATTCCCAGTGATGGGGCTCTGAGGAACTATGGGGACTCTTCCCGATCCTCCCTCTTAATCAGCTTTGAGAAACATTTGTCCAGACTAGAGATGAATCTCCTTCTGTCCTGACACTGGAGCCATACCCTTGGTGCCCAACCCCACTACTATAAAGCAGCACCTGCCTCGAAGCACTAAAACAGTTCAAATAGTGGAGATTGCTAATAAACCTCAAAACGTTCTTGTCTCTGAACCTATACCCTTTTGTTCAGGCCCTTTGAGAGACAAAAACCCTTTTCTCCTTAGTCCCTCCACCCCTATTCATTTATTAGGCTGAGAATTCTTGGAAAAGTATCATGCCAGAATTTTCTTCTCCTGAAAGGGGGAAGTAATTCTAGAATTTGACAGTAGCCATCAAAACAGCCAAGTGAATGAAATGACCCTTTGTCATCCTTTATTTGCTCCATCACTGCTGGTACCAGAGCTGATTCTGGAAACACCGTTAATTTGTCTCTATTGAATCAGCTACCCGCCTCCTTATGGGCAAAATCTCCAACTGATATTGGTAAAATTCACAGCGCACCTCCCATCAAATTCAAACTGATCCCTCAAGAACTCTCTGCAAAATTAATCAATACCCTATAAGTAAAGAAGCTCTTTAAGGTATAAAGATCATAACAGAGGATTACAAGGCCAAATTGTCTCTTGTACTAAATCCCGATAAAACTCCTATTTTACCTATGAGAAAACCCAAGGGCCGAGGGTGGACATTTGTCCAGGACCTCCAAGCAATAAACAACATTGTTATCCTTCGAGACCCTGTTGTTCCCAACCCTCATATGCTACTAACATCCATTCCCACTGGAAGCAAATTCTTTACTGTAATTGACTTATCCAAGTGCATTCTTTGGTATTCCAGTTGATGAAGCTAGCCAATACCTTTTTGCCTTCACTTGGGAAGTGAAGTGAGTCAATTCACCTGGACAGTAATGACTCAAGGTTTTACCGAGAGACCTTCTTATTTCTCTCAAATCCTGAAGGCTGATGCAGATGACATAAAGTTCCCTGGGGGTTCTATTTTGTTGCAATATGTGGATGATTTGCTCCTTTGCTGTCCCTCCCAAGTCTCACAGGAAGAAAGCATCCACTTGTTAAAGCTTGTAGCCTTAAGGGGACATAAAGTTGCGAAGGGGGAACTGCAGTTTGCCCCAAGCCAGGTTTGATATTTAGGGCATCTGGTATCAGAACAAGGGTCCAGATAGGCTTCATCCTATCCTAAGTTTCCAAAATCCAAAACGAAGCACCAACTGCTAGGTTTTCTTGGGCTAGGTGGTTACTGCCAAAATTGGATGCCAAATTTCTCTCCTATGGCCAAACCTTTGTGTGTTTTACTAAAGAACCCTGAACCAATTTTATGGGAAGAACAAGACGGCAGAGGCTTTAAGGCTTTAAAGGAGAGTTTGATAAACCCACCAACCCTTGGAAATCCCAATCATCAGAGTCCATTTTTCCTTTTTTTACACGAAAAGGAAGGGAATGCCCTTGGGATACTTAACCCAAAACACGGGGACCACCATTGACCCATAGGGTATTATAGACAGCAACTGGACCCTGTGGCACAGGGATATCCCCTTGCCTTAGAGCCATTACTGTCACTGCCCTTTCGCTTAAGGCTACCGAGAAAACTGTGGGATTCCCTTTGACCCTTTTTGTACTTCACGCAGAAGACCTCCTGGATTCTCACCACACATGGCACATTTGAGCCAGCTGCCTCACCTCCTATGAAATCCTTTTGTTAACTGCTCCTCACATAACTCTTTCACACTGTAATAAACTTAACCCCGCTACTTTTCTCCCCTCTGTCACCGACAAAGTCTCTCATGACTGCTTCATGCTGATGGGTCATCTCCTAGTTCCTCCTGAGGATCTGCAGGAAACTCCTTTGAGTAACACCAAATTCTCATGGTTTACTGATAGCTCTTATTTCAAAGGTGATAATTGCAAATCCTGTGCTGGGTATGCTGCTGCAACTCCTTTTGATATTGTTGAGGCAGCACTTTTACCTATGGCTACTTCGGCCCAACAGGCTGAATTGTATGCTCTTACATGGGCTTATACTTTAGCCAAAGGCAAAACTGCCAATATTTATTCTGACAGTAGATATGCTTTCAGAGTTGCTTACAATTTGAGAATGTTGCAGGAGCAATGTGGCTTCCTTACTTTCAGTGGAAACAAAATTAAAAATGGTCCCTATGTTCAGGAATTACTGGATGCTATACTTTTACCTGCTGCTTTAGCTATTATTAAGATCCTGGGGCATTCTAAACTTGACTCTCTGGAAGCTAAAGAAGTCATGTTGCTGACATTTCTGCAAGGAATGCAGCTCATAAAGGAACCAACAACAGCCACACCCCTGTCATGGTCCAAAGGGATATTTCCCCAAATGAAGACTTAGAAAAATTGGCTAGAGAAGCCCAACAATTGGCCTCAGAAAAGGTAAAACAAAATTCAGCAATTGTTAGTTTGATAAAAAGATAAAACTCTGGTTTGGAACAAAAAATAACTCAGTCCTACTGGAAACTCTAAAATTCCCACTCCTAACCACTGTGCATGCATTAAACCATTGGTCTACTGACAAAATGATAATATTCACGAATCACTATTGGTGGGCAAATATTAACGAGGCTGCAAAACGTGCCTACCTCACTTGTCCCACTTGTCCAAAATACAATCAGGGAAGCCTGTCTGTATTGCTCCCAGACATTTTAAACTACATAATGGACCATGTGATGTTTGGCAAATGGATTTTATATAACTTCCCCTGTGTCATGGATATAAATATGTTTTAGTCATGGTCTGTATGCTTTCTCATGGGACTGAAGCCTTCCCCTGTAGACAGGCTACTGACTCTTCTGTGGCTAACGTCCTTTTGGAAAGGATTATCCCTACCTGGGGAACCCCTCTTGAGCTCATAGTAATCAAGGAATCCATTTTACTGGTCAAATACTTTGACAAATCTGTGTTGTTTGACTGGTTTTACAACTTTCACTCTGTTTACCACCTTCAATCCTATGGTATAGTCAAATACACAATGGCACTATTAAGACTCAACTGGCAAAATTTGTAGAGACTCGAAATACTTTGGTCAAAAGCATTTCCGTTGGTCTTTCTAAATCTCAGATTTGTACCCTTTGGGACTCATAAGCTCTCACCCTTTGAGACAGTCACAGGCCACCGAATGCATTTGGCTCCTGCCTCTTTTGAGCCACAGCTGACAAAAGGAGATACAATTGCAAAGGTCTAATTGCTTCCACTAAAAATAACCATGTTTTGGTGGAGCAATCTTTTCAGTGTGCTCCAGGGAGACAAAGACGAGCATCACGCCTTGCAACCTGAAGATTTCATCTATTGGTAAAGACTCCTCCAGAAGGACTCTCTTCAACCTCGCTGGAAAGGTTCCTATCAGGTACCATTAACTAATCCTTGTCCCACAAAACTTCAGGGAATAAACTCTTGGATTCATGTGACACACCTAAAGAAAGCACCAAACTCTGACTGGACCTGCACATTATCTGGTGACTTAAAAGTAAAGATTTCCCAGAATTGAAGCAGATAACATCCGATGAGACAGCTTTCTCAAGATGTCTAGACCAGGACTGTTGGAATTTTGTCTGCCAAACCTTCGATGATGACGTAATGCTTCAGATGATGTCCAATGCCTATGATCTTGATAATACATGGACTTTAGAAAAGAAAAAGATCTGAGAGTTCTTCCTTCTACCCCTTCTGTTACTCAAATGTGGCCTCAATAGGTTTCCAATCTGTGCACTTTCCCTCTGACATGGGACACAACACCCAAGAAGGATCCTTCCTGGCACCAAGGGACAAAAGATGGATGAAACAAGAAAAACCTGACTCTTGATCAGCAATGCTTTCAGAGAAAGATCTTGACCAGAAGGGAAAAACGTCAAATTAATAAACAGAAACCTCATTAAATTGGAGTTGGGAGGGCAAAAGGGGGAGCTCTCACACCCCACGTTGATAGCAGAGCCCAACAGGAAGAAGAATGACTTCCTCTTCTTGACTGGCAGGAAGCTTAGCCAATGAAAAGCCACTACACCTAGAACTCACAATTCCTCCAATGAACTCTTTATTTACAAGAGCCCTCCCAACTTATTCTTCCCCTCTACATAAGAGTTTCTCTTCCCTAGCTGTTGGGAGACTTGCATGTGGCTCGTCATTGTTGCAGACCCCAAACTGCAATTCTTTGCCGACCCCAAATAAACCCATTTTTGCTGGAGAAATAACTGGCTATTTGTTTGAGGTCACTACCACCATGGCAAATCTTTCCCATTGCATCCTGACTACATGTCTCTCAACAAATGATGCAATCTACTTTGTAGGTGTATCTGGAAGAGTTAGCTATAGGTGCTTAAATGCTTAAGGGATCAAAGATAATTCTGTGAGACTGCTTAAGATGAGTATGAAAGAAGATTCATATATCTTGAAAATTTCTGTGTAGATTGGGTATGTTTTTTATTTTTTCTGCACCTTCATAAAGGGGCTAAAAGCAAATGAAATGGCTGGGAAGCTACTTCATAATATACCAAGAGAATAAAGAGCTAGGAAACTATGAAACTCAACATCATCCTTCTGCTTATGATAGTTCTGAGATGTCATTATGTAAATCTTATTATTTTTGAAAACTAAGAGCTTTTTTATGAAGTGAAAGTAAATCATCAGGCAGAGTGGAATTATACACCTTAGAACTCCATGATCAACACTGTGAACTCATTTGTAAAAACTAAGACTACAAAAAGAAAATTATAGCATATAATAGTTTGGAAAATGGAAGGAAAGGCACAAAACTTTAAGAAGAGAATCTTGTAATTTAATAGGATAAACAGTAAACTGATAATCATTCCTATTTTCAAAGATGAACCTAATGAAATTAGTCCAAAGAGAGGCCGTGGTTGGGGATGTTCTTTTTGATGTCTCTGGTACTTTGAAGAGCCCATAGCTGGTCTTGGTCAGAGAAGCAGCAGTTGCTATTGATGTTCCAATTACGTGGATAAGTCTTTAACGTAGACAACCAATTTTAGACAGATACCCTTTCAAAGACACGTTCAATATAAATGAAGCTGTTCTGTCTGCAAATACGCACACCTGGCACTACTCTAAAGAGAAAGATCAAAACTAAACATGACCGTATAACACACACTGCAATGAGATACTAACGTCTCTTATAACAGGAAACCACAATCTCAGCTACCTTCATCAGCAGTTCTAGCTTGTGAGACTGGCTGATAAAGTAATGAATGGTTACTGATATCAGGGAGAAGAGTGACTACTTATTCAGCTTTCCAATTCAATTAGGCACAGTGACTCAGAATCTATGAGTTGGAAGAATGTTAAAGACTATTTAATCCCATGTTCCATGTTTGAATCCCTTTGAGTACCTCCCCAACGAGGTTTGTCCAGATCTATTTGAACCCAGTCTACAGAAGGTATATTCTCCTTTTCCCCTGGATAATTCATCACATCTTTGAACACAGGAACTATTGGATCAGAGATGGAGGCCAACTGTCCTTAAGTTGTAATGACTTAGAAGCAACACACAGGTGCACAGGAAATGCATAGGGATTTATAATTACTCTGCTAAACCTGACTATAGTAATGAGCATGATTTTGAGGATGGTGCTTAGAGCACTTAGTAAGTACTTGATAAGTATCAACTATTTTAATTTTTGCTGCTCTAAAAATGTGTTGTCTTCCCTCACTTGCTATGTTTATGTTGAATGTCTATCAATGCATAAACTTACTCATATTGTGTCAAATGCCATAGAGACGCCTGGTTAACTTGATTTCTCATTTGCCATTGGTAAGGGTTCAAATGTTCTACCCTTAGAGTAGGCACTGCAGTGTGACGTAAGCTTTGCAGTATTGGAGGCAAAGGTCTCAAGATATAGCAATTTTGGAATAGAGTTTTACTTTAAAATTTTTATTTTATTTAAATAAGAAAAGAAAATGAAAAATTCCAGTGCCCAGACAGTCAGTGGACATTTGAAAAATAAAGTATAGAAAAAATAATATACACATTAAAATATCAAAATAGTACAAAAGGGAGGCTAGGGTCTCTCTCAAAGGCAACTACTATCAATAGCTACCACTGTGTTTTTAAACTGCTTAAATGTGAACCAATTAAAGAAATTCAATAAAAATATTGGCTAATATGATCCTAGATGTTATTAACTCAAAGTTACTTCATTTTACCTGAAAAATGAAATTAAAAAATAATTTAATAAAGCATTTGAAAGCAGAAAGAGAATACAGATGTCAGCAGGACATCTGAGACGTGATTACAAGACTCCATAAGGGCTTCTTCATCAGCTATGAGACATTTTAAAGTGTAGCCACACTGAAAGGTCATTTTCAGATGTGTAGTCTGTTTTGCCACAGCATTGTTATATGTCTGAAAAGGATAATGACATTTAAACATATGCATAAAGACACAAAGTGTTGATATTACTGTTTTTATTCCTTATGAGAGGGCTTTATATGCTTTATGAATCTGTTCGTTATGTTTACATCAAATATCTTAAGCTTAAAATCTCAAGGAATAAGGGGAATGAAGAAAAAAGTGAGGATGGGGGAGGGGTGTCATCTATGCTCAAATCTAATCCATTACAGATACATTTCTTTTCAACCAAGAAGCTTGGGAATGAAGTGTTTTAAATAGGACGTCTTTTCAGGGACATGTCTCCTCTGTTAAGAAGAAAAACTGAAAAAAAAAAAACTAGAAAAAATATTTCTCAGTGAGTGAAATAACACATAGAATCATAGGAAAAGATCTAGAAGGA